CCTAACATCGTGCCAGCTGGCAAAAGAAAAATGTTTATAGGGTGTGTCTCCAGCATCATGAGGCAGGACAAAACAACAGATACGGTGCTGAGAGGCAACTGACTGGCAACGGGCACAGTTCACCCCGTTGGCTACTCAGCTTCTGTGTACAACCTCTGTGCACATTTGAACTTCCATACAATAATGCAACAACTCTGCTTTTACCAATGAAGAGCACCTGTCCTTTGTACAAGTGAAGAAGTTTTCACCCTTCCCCCAAAATAAGGAGACACACACTCCCAAATGTCATCGTATCCATTGCTGACCTTATTAATCTCTCCTCAAATTCCATTGTAGTCTCACTGAATAGTCTGTTACCTAAAGACTAAGTCATAAAGTTAACCCCTCACAGCTTGCATAGAAAACATGGGGGAAATAGACATTTTTCCAAGAAGACATACAGATAGCCAGCAGGTATATGAAAAGATGCTCATCATCACGAATCATCGGGGAAATGCAAATCAAAACCACAAGGAAATATCTAATCTCACACCTGTTAGGATGGCTGATAGCAAAAAGTCAAAAGATAACAAGTGCTGGCAAGGATGTGGAGAAAAGGGAACCCTCGTACAATGTTGGTGAGAATGTGAATGGGTACAGCCACTGTGGAAAACAGTTATGGGGGAGGGATCCTCAAAAAGTTAAAAATAGAACTACCATATGATTCAGCTCTCCTACCTCTGGGTATATGTCCAAAGGAAATAAAATCACTGTCTCAGAGAGATATCTGCACTCCCATGTTCACTGCAGCATTATTCACAGAAGCTGAGATATGGAAGCAACCCAAGTGTCCATTGATGGATGAATGGATAAAGAAGTTGTGTGTAAGGTACAAACTTTCAGTCATAAGATGAATTAGGTCCTGGAGACCTAAAGTACAGCGTGGTGACTATTTAATAATGTGAAATTTGCTAGGAGACTAGATCTCTCAGGCGCTCTCATCATACAACACAAAAGGTAACTATGTGAGCTGATAAATATGTTAATTAGCTTGATTGTGGTAGTCATTTTAGAATGTATACTTATATCAAAACATCATGTTGGGGACTTCCCTGGCGGTCCAGTGGTTAAGACTCTGCACTCCTAGTGCAGGGGGCATGGGTTTGATCCCTGGTCAGGGAACTAAGATCCCACACGCCGCATGGTGCAGCCAAAAAAAAAAAAAAATCATGTTATACACCTTAAATATATACAATTTTTATTTGTCAATCGCACCTCCATAAGCTAGGGAAAAATAAGAAGAAAAAGAGATAAGAAAGAAATAAGAAAGAAATAGTTAATATACACAAATAATTGTACATATATTATACAGATATAGATATATAGATATCAAGCAAAGGGAAAAATACACAAAGCCCCTCCCATCCTCATTTCTGTAACTAGTCATGATTTCTGGCTTCCTTCCTCCTCTGCTCGTTCCAGATTTCCTTTTTCCCTCAGCCAAAACCTCAGCTGTTCAGGGTTCTTTACTTGGTGGGGTGACCTGAACTTTCATTTCTGAAGGTTCTGAGTCCTCAGTAGTCCTGCCTGTTACTGGTTATCGTTGTGTTTCATTAACTCTTGTTATTGATCATAGACGTATTAGGGGTCACCTCATAGAATCCCCTGGGTTTCAAACATAGAGTTCCTTTCCCCCACTGTTGAGCAACAGCCTAAGTTTTTTCTTTGGTAGTTGGGATCAATCACTCCCATCAGTAGAGGAACTTCTTTTTCTACGTTTTGGTTCAGTGGCATAAAAAACCTAAAAAAGCCAAGTGGCATGCTTATATTCCAATTCACTGGAATCATTATTATGTGTCCCCCGGTGGGAAAATTTCACCCTCTGGGACTAAGGCTTCCAAACTAGCAGAGCTCAAAGCTGCTGTGGTGGGGAGCGCAAATCCTCCGAGTGGATTATTAGGTATAAGAGCGATAGGAGTCACTCTCCGTTCCCAGACCCGTATATTCCATCACAGGGGAGACAGTGGTCTCTGATTCAAAGCGTGTACTTCATCCTCTACGTTAGAGACACTTTTACGGCGTTGTCTCTCAACTGGTGACATAGCTGAGACTTCAGTAAGCCACTTCCACCTTTCTGTTGGAGCCGCTGCTTCTGAGTGAAGGGGTATATGGTGTGATGAGTCACTTCCATGGGGATGAGCCCGTTGCTGCACTTCCTTTGTTGTGAATTGGTTTCCTTCGTCAGGAGCCCCGCAGTATAGTGAAGAGAGTGCGATAATGGTGAATAAGGCATAGTGGGAGGCAGCTGGTGAGGATGCTGGCAGGAACATTACTGCTTCTCCACAACAGCAGCAGACCGCTCGCTCAGCCTTGCCAAGGGGGAGGTCCGTGTTGCTGAGTCTCCATCCCTGCCACCACGGTCACTTTGTTCACGGACCCATTGAGCTAGCATTGCAGTGGCTGGGAAAGAGGCTGAATGACGTCTGCAGAGCATATAATTTTGTTTATCTGATTATTGAGCACCCCATCTGCGGCGGATGCCCTTTGGTGAGCATTTATATGGGACATAGTCTGTGCCCGAGCTGAGACATCCATCAGCTTACCTCTTCCCCCCAGATTCTTTGTCATCAGTCTTCTAATCCTGTTCCTTTCAAGTCCCTGATCATTCAGACAAACTGTAAGCAATCACCCATGAGTTAGTATAAATTCATACTTCGGGCCATCTCTCTTCCCAGACAAAGAGGGTCCCTAGATGTACCGCCCAGGTTCTGCCCACTAGGAGGATTTTCCTTAAAAGCTGTTCATTGGGGATTATCCCTGCTTGGGGCTGCAGACATCTACTTTTAGTCGGTGCTAAGGTTATCACACAGAAACATTTATAAATTGAGCTCATGTATTTTCTTTGTCAGTCAGCCTGCTATAGGGAACTTAGTATTGATTCAGAGCTGGTATTTCGTAATCTCTGAAACCACTGGGCATTTCCTTTTCCCCAGTGCGCTGTCCGTGTAGTAAATGGCAACATGTCCCTTTGGTGAATGCTCAGAGGAGGATTTTCTATGCCTGTGACAATACAGCAGGGCTCTTCCTCAAGGACACCTGGACTTGCCTTCAATCAGAGGGCTCTGGTCTAAAAACCGGCCTAGGCCTAGAAACTGGGTGTGATGTTTGACTCCCTGGTGGTGACTTAGTGGTTGCCAGACCTAGAGATTTTTCTGTTTAATAGATCATGTAATATTCTAGTAGATTCCACGCTGATTTCATTCCTAGGGACACCCAGTATCCCTAAGCATTTTGGTTATCAATACATCCCTGCTGCCTTTTATGGTAAATGCACCAGTCTTGTCTTCGGCATTAAGTGCTTGCTGCTTGGCCTCTGCTAACCCCTGTATTTCTTCATCACCAAGGAAATCAGAAAGCCTGTCTCAGTGATGACACCTCCTGCAGTCATACCTGGTCTACAAATGAGTAGCCACAGAGTTTTTCAGCGATGCAGTGCTCCTTTCACCAATGTATTTTTCAACGTGTTAGTGAAGGGAGTGTCTCTGGCCCTCCTCAGGAGATCTGGTTAGGGTGGGTGTGTATGCAGTTTGCCTGTAGTAATCAACTCCAACATTTGGATTCCTTCTTCCACATCACGCCAGGGAAGTTCTAGCATCTCAACCTCATTACATGTAGGCTACCACAGGGTTCAAGTTTTAGTCAACCAATCAAGTAAACTATTAGAGACACTTCCAGCTTCATGGGCTAACATATTAAATCTGGAATCTCTAGTAAATGCATCCATATCTCTGAAATCAGCCTGATCTGTATGCTCCCACCCTCCTCTAACACCTTTGATATTTACTCCTACACACATTCCCTGGGTTTTTCCCATATATATTAACAAAAATCTTGCAGGTTTTTTTGGCCTGTAACATATTTACTTGTGGATGGTACTGTGTACCTGACCACCTGGAGCCATGTTGAGATTTGGGGACAATGGGTGGTTTTGGTCAATCTTGAGAACAATGGGCATCCCCTTGTAAGGCACGTACTGTAGGTGACGCTCTCCAGCAAAAGTTTTCCAGCAAAAGAAGGCTCGTCTCTTGAGACATAGGAGGGCAAGCTACTTCTATAGGCAAGGGAGCCTCAGAGTGCCTTTGGGGTTTAAAATGGTCAGTTTTGTCTTAAATCTAATCAGATGTACCCCTTTCCAGGCTTCAGGTCCAGTTCTTTCCCAATCAATACACTAACTTTCACATGAGGAACTTGGTGAGGTGGTGAAATCAACTGATGTTGTAATTCAGCAACATACACAATAGACTTTGGTTTTAACTTCTGGAAATAGTAGTTCTGTGGCTACTGGAAATAAAACATCCTTTTAGAGCTGCTATGGAAGCTCTTTGGTTGTTAGACCATGACTTGCGCTGGGGATTAAAGGACCTGGCGCATCATTTTCTCTTGGTAACTACCTCATTGCCCTCAAAAGAACCCATCCTACCCTACAGCCCTTATGTTCATCATTACTGCCATGATGGTCAAGGACAGCAGACGCTTTGGCTTCCAGGCCTTGTTTCAGTTGGCGCTTCACCTCAATTAACCACAGGTGATGATAACATGATTAATGTTGCTGCCTCTTTATGCCATGGAGTATAACATCCTCTTCCCCGTTGACAGGGAACTTGGCACTGCACTGCAGTCCACGTTCGTGACCAAGCTAACCCTAAAAATTTATTTTTCAGGGTCTGTAACCTGGGAGCACACGCAGTACCAGCTCTTTGTCAGTCAGAAAAGTTAATATAGAGAATTATTGGCTAGTAAAAGGTGGTTAACCACCCTGCGGGGTAAAACGGACTCAGGAGTACAGAAATAACGGACACGGGGAGCAGCCACTAACTCTGGAGCTGAGGGAGAGTCTTCAAGGAAGGAGCAGGCTTGGAAGAGGTCCCATCCACCACACTGTGGTTGAGACCCGTGGGCGGGGCTGTAGCTGTGAATGGGTGATAGGGGAGCTTGTGGTGGTTCCACGGGCTGGAGCTGGTTCACAAGAAGCCACCTCCGGGGGTGCTGGTGACGTTGCATGTAGCGCCCTGGGTTGGAGTCGTTCCACACGCAGCCCCTGTCTGGGTTATCTGTGGGCCAGAGCTGGCAGGCAGCAAGCTGCCCATTAGGGTGTGGCTTCCAGAGCTTGTTACAAGAAGCCAGCTGCTGGGGTGCCAGAGAAGCCTGCTGAAGGATGAGTGCCCCCGGATTCGTGCTGAAAGGGGGAGAGGAAGCACCGAGGAGCAAGAAAGAGATGCCCCTTCCTCTGCTGTGCCTGCATTGACCCTCCAGAGCCTCCCTTCGCAAAGCCTGAAACCACACCCACCGATTAAGGAGAAATGGTTATGGGGGTCAGCTCAAGTGTTACAAAGGAGGGCAAAGTGTGGGTGCAGAATTAATTGAGAGGCAATTAATTCGTAACTGACACCTATTTATAAGTAAGTACCAGGTCAGTCTGAGAAGAAATGATACAATTTTTTCTTCCTATATTGAAAATCAACTGCCTAGTCTTTAGTTTACATGTTCTGTGGAAGATGTGTATTTTAATCCGCCTTTAAATATATCCCTTGTGGAATCTCTTGTATACTACCTCCTAAGAGAAAGAACGTTCTCAGTGCACTAAATTCTTGCCCGTGTATGTCAGCCTTCCATCCAGGAGTCCTGAGACCACAACTAAAGAACATAGATTGTTTTATGGCTTTTTAGCTTGGTGAGAGCTCTCATCACAGCAATACAAGGGTCTCAGATTACCTTGATAGCAACCTCACTTACTTGTGTTTTTCTGCTTAGAAGTTTTTACCTCATAGTTTGAATAGGAAACAAAGTTAAATTTCAGATATGTTCTTTGAAAATAAAACTTTATATACTAGTATTTCTTGCCTAACACTAAAAATGTCAGTACACTGGGGAGTGGAAGAGAGGATGCATTTCATTCCAGAGAGGAGTTTTCTCAGAAAGCTTTCTTTTCTTGATTTCCTTTTAATTTTCTAGATTGAGGGATGTATGCTTTCCATTTCTGTTTTGCAGTAATCTGTACATTATAAATGAACAGAAAATTATACCTCAAAGAATGATTAAAAGCAAATGCTTGGAAGCAGTATAATTACATTTCTTTATGGAATTTTAATATGTTTAATCCAAAGAATGAGGCATTGTCTCTAAATATATATTGTTTAAAAGAGCTTTGTGTGATGCTTTTGCCATGGCACTTATATAGGGCTTATATAAATTAGGGTATAGAATGTGGGGTTTCATACTTTATAGTTGGGGCAGGGAAAAGAATGACGGGCATGGGCAAGAAAGAGATAATGTTGTGATACTCCAGTGGTGATGGTCCAAAGTAACAAAGCGAGCTTCTTTTTTTTTTTTTTTCTTGGGTATTATAACTTTTTATTACATTACATATTAGCCTTTATCTCTTAAGTATCATTATAAATGTGTAGCTTTTCACAATTTTATTTTATTTATTTATTTATTTATTTTTTTAAACATCTTTATTGGGGTATAATTGCTTTACAATGGTGTGTTAGTTTCTGCTTTATAACAAAGTGAATCAGTTATACATATACATATGTTCCCATATGTCTTCCCTCTTGCGTCTCCCTCCCTCCCACTCTCCCTATCCCACCCCTCCAGGCTGTCACAAAGCACCGAGCTAATATCCCTGTGCCTTGCGGCTGCTTCCCCCTAGCTATCTACCTTACTACGTTTGTTAGTGTGTATATGTCCATGACTCTCTCTCGCCCTGTCAAAGCTCACCCTTCCCCCTCCCCATATCCTCAAGTCCGTTCTCCAGTAGGTCTGCGTCTTTATTCCTGTCTTACCCCTAGGTTCTTCATGACATTTTTTTCCCTTAAATTCCATATATATGTGTTAGCATACAGTATTTGTCTTTTTCTTTCTTACTTACTTCACTCTGTATGACAGACTCTAGGTCTATCCATCTCATTACAAATAGCTCAATTTCATTTCTTTTTATGGCTGAGTAATATTCCATTGTATATATGTGCCACATCTTCTTTATCCATTCATCCGATGATGGGTGCTTAGGTTGTTTCCATCTCCTGGCTATTGTAAATAGAGCTGCAATGAACATTTTGGTACATGACTCTTTTTGAATTTTGGTTTTCTCAGGGTATATGCCCAGTAGTGGGATTGCTGGGTCATATGGTAATTCTATTTGTAGTTTTTTAAGGAACCTCCATACTGTTCTCCATAGTGGCTGAACCAATTCACATTCCCACCAGCAGTGCAAGAGTGTTCCCTTTCCTTCACACCCTCTCCAGAATTTATTGTTTCTAGATTTTTTGATGATGGCCGTTCTGACTGGTGTGAGATGATATCTCATTGTAGTTTTGATTTGCATTTCTCTAATGATTAATGATGTTGAGCATTCTTTCATGTGTTTGTTGCCATTCTGTATATCTTCTTTGGAGAAATGTCTATTTAGGTCTTCTGCCCATTTTTGGATTGGGTTGTTTGTTTTTTTGTTATTGAGCTGCATGAGCTGCTTGTAAATTTTGGAGATTAATCCTTTGTCAGTTGCTTCATTTGCAAATATTTTCTCCCATTCTGAGGGTTGTCTTTTGGTCTTGATTATGGTTTCCTTTGCTGTGCAAAAGCAAAGCAAGCTTCTTTACAAAGAGAGTATTCATTTCCTGTTCTTACTGTCAGTCCAGAAGGAAGGAGAATGAGAAGTGCTCGGATTGCAGATGCTCTCGCACACTATTTTGGGCAGTAGGGTTTGCTTAGAAAAACAGGATAAATATTGATAGGCAGCATCCACATGTTCAACTCTGGTGGTGGCCACTGCAACAAGTAGGAGGTTTGTGCTTTCTGAATTTTAGAAAATGAAATAGAGCCTACCAGGATCCTTCACTTATGTGACAACCCGGTGGTTTTGGAGTGGACATTTATTTTCTCGTCAAACCACAATCCTATCTGGGTTGGTTTTGTGGTTTTCTTCGGACATGCACCGGGAAATAGGGATTAGCAGTAAACATCAGGATTTTGATCATGAAATGAATGAAACATCAGGATTTTGATCATGAAATGAATGAAACAAGGAATAAGAAAGCAAATTTCCACTGCAGAGGACCACCCAGTGGTCATTTCCTTCTAATTACCTCAGTGAGTCTAAGAAGGAAGGAAGAGATGGATGGATGGATCTACACTGATGGTAAACTCTCTGGAGGTTGGATTCCCTTTTCCTCATTCCATTTCCTCCCTCATTTAAACATTCTGTTGATATTTAAATAATTCAAATAATGACTTGCTACTCTCTCACCCCTTTTCTTAAGACTTGCTCTGCTATTCACAATGGGGGAAGAGAAGAAAAATACTTTGATAACTATTTGGAAACAGAAATTTTGCTTTTCTGAGGATTCTGTTAAAAAGGTGACCTTTAGAAAAGAATTAGCAGCATCTTTCAAATTTAGGATCCCAGCCAAAAACAAGCATGTTTACATTTTGGAGAGTCGTGGGGAAGAAAGATGATGGGAACTGGTATGAATATGATAAGAAGCTAAAATGTACATATTTAGTAACAAACCAGACCTTCTTTCTTGGGGAAGCTTTTTTAAAAAAACGCCTAATTCCTAAATGAGATGAGCATGGGGACAGGGATACAGAAATGTATATGTTAGTTTGGAATATAATGTTAGTAAAGTTTATCCTAAATTAGGACAAAGGCATTAAGAGATGAAGTCAGAAACCCCATAATTTATACAGAGCAACTAATAATAATATGTACAATCCTTTATTGAACTCTTCCCTTATACCAGCACTCTGTGTGCATAGGTAACACCCCTGTGAGTTAGGGGTTACTACCAATACACAGGTGAAGCAATGGAGAGAAGTGAATTTATATGCCCCAAGTCACATAGTAAGTGGTAGAACTCGAATTTGAATCCATACCTTCCTGGCTTCCACCATACGCGTACGCAACTGGACCTCTCTTAACTGAAGCGTACCTAGTTGAAGACCTCCCACACCTAGTTATAAATTTCTTTTTGATTCTAACAAGAGAAATATAATGAATTAATTTAGAGGCAAAAATTTTATGAAAACTATTGAAATAACAAGGGGAAGTTTTATTTTTTCCTCTGATACTAGGTTTATCTCACACGCCTCCTTGATGCCCTCTCCAGTTTTCTTCTCATGGTAGTTTTCTAATTGCAGCTCCCAAGAAGCAGCTTGGTTTGGGTTTATGCATCTGCAAAAGATCCTTTGACAGAGTAGCAGATGGAAAACATTATGGTCATTGACTTTATTTATTTATTTATAATTTTATTTTTGGCTGCGTTGGGTCTTCGTTGCTGTGTGTGGGCTTTCTCTGTTTGCGGTGAGTGGGGGCTCCTCTTCGTTGCGGTACGCGGGCTTCTCATTGCGGTGGCTCCTCTTGTTGCAGAGCACAGGCTCTAGGCGTGTGGGCTTCAGTAGTTGTGGCACACAGGCTCAGTAGTTGTGGCTCATGGGCTCAGTAGTTGTGGTTCGCGGGCTCTAGAGTGCAGGCTCAGTAGTTGTGGCACATGGGCTTAGTTGCTCCGCGGCATGTGGGATCTTCCCGGACCAGGGCTCGAACCCTTGTCCCCTGCATTGGCAGGCGGATTCTTAACTACTGTGCCACCAGGGGAGCCCACATTGACTTTAATTAAAAGTTTTCATGCCGTTCTTTGCATTATTTCTCCCACAGCTATTTGGAGACTGTGTCTAAGATCATGATTTTAGGATCTTAGCAGGCTGATTCTTTCCTGAAAGTTCAAAATGATAGATCATTTCCTGATCAAATAGAATTTCCTTTAAATTCCATTAAACAAGAACCTGTTTTATCTGTGATAATTTTAAAATGAAAAATTTTCAACTGTTTTATAATAAAATGTGCTTCAGAGAACTGTAAACATTCTTCAACTCAATTTTAGAAATCTTAAACATTGAAAACAGAATTACAGAAATAGGTGACACTATGTCAATAAATAGTAACATTTCTGGAGTGTTTACTGGGGAGGGTAAGCTCATACATTTGTTATTTCATTTCATTCTCACCACAACTCTGTGAGGTAGGCACTACCACATCTCATCAAGTCTAAAATGCCTTCAGTTTAAAATGAGCCATTATTTTATGCACCACTAAGAATGCTGCCAATGAAAACTGCAAGATGACCACCAGCTGCAATACAACCTTGATTTCAGTGATATCTGAAGAAATAAATGTACATCTTAGAATCCATGAAATACGTCAGTATCAGTTTTACATATGAGGAAACTGAGACAGAATTAAATAACTTGCCTGAGATCATCTGGTTTATAGGTAGCCTGCTAGAATCCAAGCCCAGGGCTCTGACTATATGTTTTATGTTCAAACTGTTACACTTGTGCTCTCACAAATGCTTTCATTAAGGGATCTTGGACTGATCCACTTTACTGGATGATTTATCTATATTTGACTTA